AGAGAAAAAGGGAAAGAGGGGGGGCGGGGGGGCGAGAGAGATAGACCCCATAGTATTGGGTTAGTTTTTTCACACAAAAAAAAATTTATTGGGCAAAATGAATAATGGAGGATCGGACTTCCCTTTGACTGTACAAAGTGGGGTCCTTGGGAGGAAAAGGGATAGCATGAAGCGTTGGGGTTTGGGTTTATGACCCCATTTTTGTTTTCTGGAGGGTACATCAGTTCCCAAAAGTGAACCCCATCCGCAATCATTGATAAAGTTTTATCAGCCATCATGGTTCAAATATAAAGAAACTGAGGGTCAACAACAAAAATTGACGGCATAACTGAAACCCCAAAAATGCCTGGAAAGGATGTTATACCATGGCCCACACAGTCTGCTAGTGCCATATGAACAGCTAAACTGACAGCTGCAATACCAGCTACAGTGACTGCTAAAGGGCCATTATGGCAAAACTTTTGACTTTCAATAACTAAACTTCGATCTTCAAAAGTGTATCTAACGAGACGGTCGATCATGCAGACTATCTCTAATACCATATCAAGTATGCATCGTTTTAAGATGGAAACCCTAGCAGAGAGCAAGGGGACAATACATAAGATTTGAAGGTATCCAACAAATAAAGAGTTCCACACCTTCCGCCACATTTTCAAGTTACAAAAGACAATATTTCCCAAAATAATATTTATAATTACACAACAACCTCGATTATAAACAAAATAGAGAAAGATGGACATGTCCCTGTACATAAAACATAATAACATATACTCCATACAGCAGCCATGAATGCTAGTCCTCATACAAATAACAGTCTTACAACTTTACTGACGTAACATTTCATCTCTGGTATATCCATAAAACACTTAGAAGACAATTTTCTACAGAAAAAAATAGACATGGTGAAGGCAACTACCATGGAATGACAAGACATAGGTACATGGGACTCTTGAAATAATAAAATTGCAAAGCATACCTTTCTGTAAAGTCTTGAGTAGGGCACTTTCATCCAGCCTATCAACTTCTACTAATGCTTTAATGTACTCAGCAAGAGCAGAGGGGTTAGAATGTAGAGAAGGTTGGCTTTCAAATAGTCTTATAACACCTTCTGCATCACGTCTGTAAAGCTCTTTAAGCAACGCCACATCATTTGCTCCATCTACATCACGTATTCTACGAGAAAAGCTTCCAACATAACTTGACTGAAACCTCTCTTGCACAGTTTGAAGCCTATTTGCTGGTACAAACAGATGAAATTAAAAAGTGGAAAAATTGTTTCTACGATTATGTAAATGGATATACCTGGAGAAGAGGCAAAATACCAACTACAACTGAAAAATTACCAATCACTACGCAAAGAAGTGCATAGCACACTTGCACACCACAAATATAAATAAAACCATCTCCAGCTGAAGGGGAAAGGTAAACATGGCATTTTCAGGAATTTTTGCTCAACATGTGCAATCGCAAGAAAACAAAATTCAATTGCTGACTATGAAAAAAATTATAGGATTCCTACATCAAAAGAAACATCTAACAATGAGATTGTGTCAATGATAGAATGATGACACACAAGAACTTCTAAGCAGTGAAGTCATGTCACACAGATACAATGCATCAGAAACTGAATTCAATTGCATTATGAGAAATGATAGAAACCCAATTTGTGAAGACCTATATCAATGAAAAGAACGATAGAATGAACAGTTATATGGACTTTTAAGCATTGTACAAACAAAGAAATGGTAAACCAAACTAAATTGCAACTAGCACAAAATATATTAAAATCCAAAATTCTGAACTCAACCAGTTATTCCTAAAACCTCAAATGTGCATCACCATCCATATCGAAGTACATTTTTAAATAGATCCAAACAGAATTTTAATTAAGTGCAAATTATCACTTCAAAACAAGCAACTGCATTAGAGGAACTATAGTTTGGGTGGAAGCACAGAAGACCATATTTGAGTTGTTTTGGGAGTGTTGTCAGGACTGTACTGGAGGTTCAACAAGTGAGGGATGATCTCATCCAAATAGTTCCCAGAATATGAAATGATATGATACTATTATCTCTGAAGATCTGAATAATAAGTCTTTCCAATCGGACCAGCCAAATCAACTGGTCTGACTGAGGTCCAACCACTCCAATCAGGTCCAACATTGTTTTCGATAGCCCTTTCATAATTTACAGGTTTTGATATGGACCAGATGCACTATGATCTCCCAGTCAAACATGCAGCTCCATTGAGGGCCACAGTTACCGGAATCTTCTACCTAGGTGGCAATTCTGCTTCGGAATCTCGCTTCAGCGCTTCAATCAACAAATTTTTACAGAATCCTGTTCTTTTAATTTAGGAATCCACATTTTAGGAATCTCAAACTGAGTCATTTGGAATCCCGATTCCATAGCTTCAAATCAGAGGGTTAGGGTTTATAGGTTAACCAAACCATGATTCGATCAACACGGAATCTCACTTCCACCTTTAGCAATATCGATCTAGAGTTATTTGGCATTGAATCACGAATTCCCTTGTGGAACATGCTAACACGCTGTAACAAGTCTAGGGTTGAAGGAAAACTTCATTATTCCCTAGCAGTAGAGTGATTGCAAAAGTAGTATGGAATGCTTGGAATTTTTTAACTAGTGTTTTTTGAAACAAGGTAAACTTCATCATTTCCTTATTATATTACAGAATGCTTGGAACTTTTTATATATGGATGCGGTTTGTATAAGGCCGAGGCTCTAAACAAACAAAGTAAAGCGCACCTTTAACTTGTGCCGAGAAATGTGGTTTCAATACTAGAAATCTTTGTGATAGCCTCAAAAATTATTTTCATCTTTAATTATAAAATTTAAAGCTTAAAAAATAGTGTCGATCGAGCAGATCTATGAGAACTTGAAAATTGACAGTCCAAAAATGCATTACAAGATGCACTATTTCAAAAACTTGAAATCCATTTTTTTCTCATGTCCATGCATCTTGAGGTCGAGATGATCAATTTGAGGATTTTTGGGCATCAAAAGAACCTCTTCTAGTGAAATTTTTGAGGTGTGCCTTAATTGGATTGTTTAGAGCCTCGCACTTATATAAACATTTTTCCCTTGTATATTATTTGAAACATTGTGTTCTTTAAATTTATTATTAATTAAAATAAAATTGTTTCTTTATTCAACGAGTATGTGCATCTAGAAACTCTACTTAAAATCATTCCTAAAGTCCGGAAGCCATAATAAATGTCTTATTTTCTTAAAGGCTTTTTTTTTTTTGATGCTGTTAACTGTTTTCTTAAAGGCATTATTAATAGATCAAATAATTTTGTGTTCTTTATTCAATCTAGAATTCCAGTAAACCTTATCTCTAATACATAGGGAACTCAAGTTAAGGGCACTATATGACCTTGATTGCAATACTTGTGGGGGAACCGTTATCATGGGCGCTCAGTATATTGATTCCAATACCAGGGGAATCCTTGTTTAGGGCGGTTAAGGACCTCAATTTCAATATTAGGGGAATTCTGGCTAAGCGTATGCAATACATCGATTCCAATACTATAAATTATTGGTTAAGGATACTCTAGAACCTCGAACCCTTTGCCTTATGGAACTTGTTCCTTGATAATTACTCGGGCAGTTACATGGTCGGGGACATGATTCCAAAAAGTAGGAATCTTGATTACTGAGATATGCATTATATAGACAGCAGTTACTATCATATGAGGCTTCTAGCCTCTCATGATTCACTGCTTCCAATTCCTAACAGGCTACTGGATCCTGCTTCCAACAACTATGTTGTGGCCCTTACAATAGTGATTTTGGGTTTTACTGTTCACCATGTACTCATGCAGTTTTGTGAACCATTTAATGGTATTTAACTTCTTATCGTGTTAAAGGAATCAGGGAAAGACATACCCAAACCATGCACACGAACATGTTACATCAAGCACAACAGGTAAACGGTAAACCATTACCCTAGTAAAATATGTGCGGAATGTCCCTATCATGCAATTTAGGAAAGAAGCTGGTTAGCGAGCCTGCACAAAGAGCAATGTAACTGCTCTATATCAAAAGAAACTCATCTCTTGAAAAATGTGGGACAATAACAACCTTTTGGTGACAGTTCAAGTTGGTGAATGCCAACAAAGGAAGCAAAAATACCTGCACTTTGGCACCATTTTTTTCCATGAAACTACTTAGCCTCAAGCACAACGGCTCAGGTCTCACTAGGACAAGAGTGCGCCTTAATTTGCAGTAACCATATAATAGCGTGTTGCTTTCCAGAATCCCAAAAACTTCAGGTGATATAAATTAGCTGATCTTCCAGAATCCCACAAACTTCAGGTGATATAAATTTAGCTGATCTGAATCTAATATCCCCAATTTTCCAGCCCAAACCATGGGAACCTCCAGTATAGGAACCTTTGATTGTGAGATAGAAAGAGCAGAATGTTCAACCATCTCCTAGCCTATGAAATTGTACCTCTTTGAAATCACCAAACCATAGACTCATGCAACCATTAGGCGTATTAATGTTTCTTAGGTACTAGCACACTAGCGACTACAAAAAGCATGATAGGAACATGGCAGAGACCCACCTGGCATCAGATAAACAAACAATCTGACCAATAACTCATAGTGTGCAGCCAAAACCATAATTTGAATGCAGATTAAATTGACCAAACAAATCCCTCAAAAAGCGCCTTAGACTTATGAACATCCAACCACAAATTGGGGAAGAATCTATTGTAATTTGCAACTGGATCAGTCCATGAACTGGTTGCCCTTTAGACAGGGACGCTCAATCCCTACTCCTAAAAAACTTTTGGAAAATGCCAATCTTTTCTTCTACTAATTGAAGATAAAATGAAATATCAGAAGAAATAAACAAGCGAAAGGAACCGCATTGTCCACATGCTGATAAAGCACCAAATTACTAACCACAAAAACTCAATGCAAAAACTAAACATAATGTCACTGAAATATGTACCTTGACCAGCTAGGAAGCTGTTATAAATGAGATGAGGTTGACTGTGCAATTCATAAAGACGTGGCAACCCCAGCTGTTGCCTGACAACCTATTTATGTCAAAAGAAAATAAGTTCCAAACAAAATTATAAACCAATAGGACCTAAACAGATAAATCATATCACAGAAGATAACATACATTTTATATATCAACTACCAGACTATATTTTTTTAATGTATTTGATAGTTAGATATCTACGTAGATTTTTCACAATGGAACTAAGATAATTCTCCAAGAATCTCTTCACAAGAAAAGTATCAGAAAGTATCAAAACTATGAAAAGATAAAGACACAAGAAACCAAAAGGACAGGACATAAATGAGCAAGGAGCTAATAACAGCAAATGACATGGATATGATATCCATCTGAATACTAGCGGCAATTGTTAGAATGCAGACCACAATAAGATCATCAGCAATTATCATAATGGTCCATCTGTTTTAAATCTGTTGCGCATGGTACTACAAGACTTGTGTTCCATTCAGTACCCATATGTATTAGAAACTATTACAAGGACATCTCTAAGAACGTTCACTCAATGTATTTAAAACATGTACCAATCTACAAAAGAAACACATCCCACACATATTATATTATTTAACCAAACTAGAGAATTGCTATAACCTATAAGCACCTCTTCCGTTGCTAATTACTTTGATGTGTGCATATTTATGTGTTTTATGAGGTATACAGATAGCTATATAAATAGATGAATAGATAGATGGATAGACAGATAGAGACACAGCTTTTTGACAGATACATCTATTTGAAACAGCTAAGTATGGCATGAAAAATGATGATTCGTTACCTAGATCCCCCCCTCATAGATCCTCTGATGCATGGAAATGTATCTCCTCCACCAAAGCTGCTTTCCTCAGTCGCACTTGACTTAGACTAGGTAATGGCCATTGAATCAAATTCTGGTCAGATCTCCGGATAGGACATTCTCCCCTCTGTAGGTCATTCCCGCCTCTGTATCTCTTGGCTATCAATCAGGCAGCCTCGATAGCTGATAATGTAGAACTCAAAGGGTCCAATCTGGTCTGGACCCCTATCTTTAGGATAAATCTCTCAGGCCAAGAATCCAATTGCCTAATTTCCCTTTTCCATATCCATGACCTCATCTTTAGTCCCCTTCTTCGCCATGATGCTCTAATCTAACCCCCAGGCTCCTTATCTCTTTCCTCTTTCTATACCTCCCTTCTTCCTACACAGAACCTTCACCCTCTCCTTAACAGAACCTGGTCTCTTCCAATTCCTCACAAAATTCAAGCTTTCATCTAGGTCCTCCAAGGTAAAACCCTCACCTTGGACCAACTTCAACGCAGAGGAGTATCTTTCCCTAACCTCTGTATACTTTGTCTCCAGGGAGAGGAGACAATCCCTCACCCTTTCATCCATTGTGAGGTCTCCTTAGGTCTCTGGTCCTACCTCTTTAAACTATTTGGCTTACAGTGGGTTACACCCCCGACCTTGAATAACCTATTCGATTCCCCCTCCCCCCCCTTCCCGGGGAAAAAACTTTAGCACCTCTTTTTCGCGGCTCTGCTTTGGAGCTTATAAGCTGGTGAGAAACTCTAGAACATTTAGAGGAACCCATAAAAGCCAACAATCGATTTTTGAATCCATTACAGTCCTCATCTCCCTTTAGGACAAAGTAATATCGACTTTTGCCTCTATTTCAATCACGCATTTCTTGGTCAACTTGGAAAGTCTCCTTAACTTATCAACCCCGACCCATAGACCTAGACCACCTTGGACACCCCCTCCCCCTGGTTTCCTTAAACTCAACATAGATGGGTCTTCCCTTGGGAATCCAGGGCCCTCAAGCATAGGAGGCACGCTTGCAGATTCTTCTGCAACTATCTTTACCTTCTCTAAATTCATAGGCATTAATGATTCCACCAAAGCGGAGGCTCTGGCCCTCCTTGAAGGCCTTAAACGTGTGGCTCTTGCAGGGCCCAATGCTCAAAAAAGGGATCATCGTTGAATCAGACTCCAGAAATACTATACTTTGGGCTACTCAACAGAAGCAACCTCCTTGGAGACTCAACTCTATTTTTAGCATATAACTTTCCTCTGCAACTCCCTCCCACAGGTTCTCTTCAAACTCATCCTTCAAGAGGCTAACTCAGCAGCTGACCGTTTGTCGAAGGAAGGAGCCACCTAAGGCACAGGTGCACCGCTTCTCCCCTGAAATCTCTTACCCACTCTCTCTCTCTCTCTCTCTCCTAACCTTCCTCATTCATTCCTATTCCTCCCCCCCCCCCCCC